TATACATCTCCCATTTAAAACTTAGTTGAAAGTTCTTTTGTCATCCAATCTGGTTTTTTGAGACATGCCCCATTTTTCCTTCTCATTGGAACAGTTTGAGATTGTGCCTTCAGTATCTCCCTTTTGAGAAAGTCCCATACATCCTGAAATCCCTTCTCCTTTAGTATTCCTGACCATGGGATCACTCCCAGTGTTTCCCTAAGTTTGTTGAAATCAGCTCTCCTAAAGTCTAGAATGAGTGTTTGACTTTGCTTAGCTTCTCCTTTCCACTGTATAAGAAACTCCAGGAGAACATGATCACTCCCACCTAAGGATCCCACCACTTGCACTCCATTTACCACGTCATCACTGTTGGTTAGGCTCAGATCTAAAATAGCTGACCCCCTTATTGCCTCTTCCACCTTTTGGATGAAGAAATTGTCTTCGAGGCAAGTGAGGAATTTTCTAGACCTTGAAGTATTGGCTGAGTTTGACTTCCAGCAGATATCAGGATAGTTGAAGTCACCCATCACTACTACATCTCTCCTTTCTGAGTGTGTGGTCATCTGTTCTAGAAAGGCATCATCCAATTCCTCAGTCTGACTTGGGGGGGTCTGTAGTTGACTCCCACAATAACATCCCTGTTGTTTCCTTCTCCTTTAATTTTTATCCAGATGCTCTCCACCTGATTTTCAGGTGTAAACATCCCTGACATATAATGCTATTCCTCCTCCTTTCCTGTTTGGCCTATTTCTCTTAAAAAGGTTATACCCCTTTATTCCTACATTCCAGTCGTGAGACTCATCCCACCAGGTTTCAGTGATGCCTGTTATATCATATTTACTTTGTTGTGCTAGGAGTTCAGGTTCATCTTGTTTATTTCCCATGCTCTGTGCACTAGTGTATAGACATCTAAGAGCATGTGTCTTCCCCACTTGCTCCCTGTGTGAGATGTTTTTTCCTCCCACTGTTGGGCCCTTGCATCATTTGCCTTGTTCCCTCTATAACACTTTGACTATTATTTCCAGCCCATGATGTACTCCTGCCTTCCAAGATACCTTCTAAGATACTGTCTCCCTCCCCAACATGACTCAGTTTAAAGCCCTCCTGATCAAATGTTTTGAGACTATTGGCAAAAATGCTTCTGCCAACTGGTGTGAGATGCTGCCCATCTCTTGCTAGAATTCTCCCCTCATGGAACCACAGCCCATGATCTAAGAATCCAAATCGTTCTTGGTGACACCATCTACAGAGCCAGTTATTCATGTCTGCTATCTTCCTCTCCCTTCCTGGACCATGCCCTTCAACTGGGAGACAACAACTTGTGTGGTTGTTTCTGTTTTCAGCACTATGTTTAAACTGGGTACCACTGTGGACAGCATTAATATTAAGGGTGATTGATAAAAGGTGCTCCTGGCGTCATAAGGGGACTCAAGTCCTTACTAGTGTACATCTTTGGAAGTTAGAGTACAGCTGTGTTGGTACCATACAGAGATGTGAGAGTTGAATGGCTAACATTGCTTAGATTAGGCTAATGACATAATCTTATTTTACCATGATCCACCATTTGCTGTTAGGTTTGCTACAATGAAAACTGGAGAGGGCTCCTATACCTTTTAATGGTTGTGTTGAAGAAGTTATTTCAGCAGGTGATGCCTGTTACCTGATTGTATGACAAGCAAAATGTGCTGGAATTCCTTCTTTATACAACCATTAAAGGTACAGGAGCTCTCATTTTAGCAACCCTACTTGCTGTGAACTGTCTTTCTAGAGCAGGAGTAGGCAACCTTTTTGAGCCAGGGGCCGGGTTGCTGTCCCTCAGACAATTGATGGGCCGAAGCACCAAAAATAAATAAATAAATAAATAAATAAATAAATATTAAAATTATAAAAAGAATTAAAAAATTTAAAAAATGCATGCACACTCTCTCAGCCCCAGAAAAGCCATGGCAAAACCCCTGTGAAGATTTTGCCAAGAAAACCCCAAGAACAAGTAATAACAACAATAATCAATATCATCATGGGGGGGGCGGCGGCGGTGGGGGGGCGGCGGCGGCAGGACCGGTTTGGGGCCGGTCCAAAGGCCTTGCTGGGCCGCATCCGGCCCCTGGGCCTTAGGTTGCCTACCCCTGTTCTAGAGAGACAACATGGTGTAATGGTTTGAATGTTGGACTACAACTCTGAAGACCAAGGTTCAAATCCCAGCTTGGCAATGGAAACCCACTAGGTGACCTTGGGCAAGTCACAGTCTCAGAGCCCTGCAAAGGCAAACCATCTCTGAACAAATCATGCCAAGAAAAACCCATTATGGGTTTACCTTAGAGTTGCTGTAAGTTGGAAATGACGTGAAGGCATACAACAAACAACAAAAGGAAGAAAGCAGAACCTGGTGATTTTTTAAGAAGGAAAAGAGTTAGGGTGGTGCAAGGCTGAAGCAAACTAGTGACAGCAGAGTTCCAAATCTAAATTAAAGTGATATTTTTATTAAGCTGATTCATTTATCACAAGATAGTGTGCAAGCTTTTGAGATATCCAGATCTCTTCATCAGGGTGGTCCTTACAAAAAGTACTTGGGGAGAGGAGGAAGAGGAGGAGGAAAAGCTAGTCTGTTCAAATCAAGAAGTCAGCATGGCCAGAGTCTTAAGTAGTATGGAAAGAGATTGCAGGTGTTCCATTTAGGCTCTGTAAGGTGCTGTGATGGTTTCAGATGGATAAAGATGCAAGCAAACAGAAGTTGATCCCTCTACTTTTGGAAGTGTTTCTATTTCAGGGAAGAAAAGGTTGCCTAAGGAAGAACAGAAGCACTTCCCACCCCTGTGAAGCTATCCAAAGTGACTTTAATGTTAGGAGAAGGAGAGATGTTTTAAAGCAGCTAGTTTTAAGGTAGTGAGGTAATTCTAGTGTGCAGAAATGAAATGTGATGCCCATTGAGAAGCTTCCATGAATACAAGTTTTATATACCCCTGGGGCAATAACCTGAAAGTGATAGTTTTAAGTTAGGGAGTTTCCACTGAAGCTATGGTTCGTTGGTATGGGTTCACTGGGTTTAAAACAGCAAAAATTTATAGGTTTGCAAAGTTTTAAGATAAATACAGAAACTGTGCTTGAATAAAGCATTTAATTTGATAAGGAATGAAAGTAGGCTACTAGACAAGCCTTCCTTTATAGAATGAGAAATTAAAGTGAAAACAAGTGTGTTTGTATATATTCATGCATTCACATATGTATGCATACATACAAATATGCAAGATACATACAATGCAACTGCAAGTATCTTAAGTGGCCAATACAGGAAATATAATACAGTTGAAATCTTTGTAATCTTTAAAAATCTTCTGTATAGGTGAATGTGAAATTGGGCTTAGAAGGAAAAAAGAAGCTCATGGAAATTCTTTTTTAAAGCCTGGTGTCAGGATATTTTTGCTTTGGGAGGGAAGGAGATAAAAGGGGGAAATAGGAGGGAAGAGGAATATAGAGTGGTGAATTGGGAAGAAAGAGAAAATAGGTTCATTGTCTTTTCAAATTGTTAAATAATTGGGATAGGAGCTTCTTGTGGTTTTCCAAGTATGCATTTGATTCTGGTTATGTGATTTTTTTTGCTTTTTAAAATATATATTTCCATGTCTCCCAACCCTGTATTGTGGTGTATAAGAAATGCAAGATATGCTGTCAGATACGATATCTGTCTGTGTGTCTCTATGTCTTAAAAGGTTGGTGGGGGGAAGGTGGAAGTCCCCATCATGAAGAGATAACCATAAATACTGTGGAGCTGAGGACAGGAAAGAAGCACATGCCCTGCATCCATCTCCTCCTCTCCTTCCCCCCACTTTTTTCTTTCCAGGCTCTCTCTGTCTTTTCTACAATGAGTGCTCCTTTTTTTCATTCTTCTTCCCATTCCAAAATCTGCTTTATTTCCAGCTTCTCCTCTCTCTCTTGCTCTTCCTTACTTCTTCACCTCCTGAAAAAAAAGAATGCATTAAAAAACAAACAGATGCCTTCAACCTGTTCTTTTTGTACAGAGCCCTTGCAAATTAATTGTAACTGAAGATGAACAGCTGTTTTGAATCACTATGGAGTGAATTAATTGGTTGGCTTTGCCATTTGTGAAATTAGAATAAATCCAACTAATTATTTCTTAGTTTTCATATATAAATATATATTAGCACATGCAAATGCTATCCAGTTTTTATCCTGTTCATCCGTACCTTCCCATCTTTAAGTGCCTAGCAATGTCCCTTATAGTAAATGAATTGTGGATTACATTTTTTGGTTTGATATAACTGCTTCAACGTCGTTTTGCCCATTTTATGCTGAATTATACTAGGTGGATGTTAATCTTCCAAAGAATAAAGTTTGACATTTTGTTTGTTTGACTTTGTTTGACAAGTTGTGCAGTTTAAAATATCTGTTTCCTCTGTCTGTGGAGACATTGATGAGAGCCTAAGTCCAATTGATAGTCCCAGCAATCATGATAGTCAAGTGCCAGATAGATTTAGAACTTTTATTTCCCTGTATGTTTGTATTTTAATAACCTTTTGCTCAAGGATCTTCAAAATGACATAGCTTGAACTCTGTGCAACACTAACTTGCAGTGATACCAACACCAGTGTGTGTATATCTCAGTGCAGAAACTGTGTGTCATCTCCTTGCTAAATGAACTCTAAATGAAGTCTAAATAAGCTACTTGCAACATCATTATCCTTGCTCAGCTGCTACAGATAAACATAACTCCATATTCCCTTCTTACTATTACTATTGTGTCTCTTTTATCATGTTCATCTTGTTTCTTATATTTCTGTTTAGCTGACTGAAACAAGGCTTTTAAATCATTATGTAGAAGACCGATCTTGTAAGAGGGACTTAATATATATTAGCAGATGGATCTTTTCTTCCTGATAGCAATGTGTCATTCAAAGCACTGATATATGTCTTTCAAAATTTTAAGGTTTTGTTCTAATATTAGTTTTATTTATTTTATTTCATCTCTGTTGTTTTTGTTGTTGTTTTATATTGACATGAATAATGAAAAATTATAATAAACGGCAGCCTTTATATTTGAGCAGATGCTTTTCAATCAAAATATATTTAACTAATCAAGGTGTACATGTTATTAAAATGTTATGTGTTGGAATGCATTCTTTTCCACCCATAGCTTTCAGATAACCGTTCAAGATTTTCTTCATTGCAGAACTATGCAAGTACCAATTCAGTATTTCAAGAGTTTGAGTTCAACGAACTTTGCCAAAGTACCTGAATGAATGATGTCTCCATTGAATTTTGAATGTGCACAAAGAAGTTACACTGTTAGCAGAAGCTGAGCTGTTAATTCTCTTTAATGCTTTTTAAACACCTCTTATAGTTAATAGACAGATCACAAGGCATGCTGAAGCTTCCAAATGCCACAAAACATTAGAGTTAATAAGGCTAATTTGTGGTGTTCTGTGTTGCAAAGAGCCTGACTGACAGCATAATAGTGATTGTCAGTTTTCTTTTGGAGTTCTTCACATCTTTTGTGTATTCTGGTGGGTTGGAGGCATCATTGTCTTGTTAGTTTTCTCACTGTGGGAAAGGAATCAAGAAGCCAGTAGAGCAGAATAATCAAAGCAACATAGCAACCATGCCTTTGTTACTCAAAGCTGCCTTCTTCAAGGAAGTCTATTGGGGGGGAAAGGGAGGGGGCATTAAGAAGACAGCATGCTTGATTAAAATGTTACAGAACTTCAGAGACACATTGCCAACTCCTGGTTTTTTTTGTTTTTTTTTTTGGAATAATAATATGGCTGTAGCAAAAATAAAATAAAATAAAAAAGGGTGAAATCTAGCGAAGAGCAAATCTGCAGATATATCCAAGCACTTGGCTGTAAACCCAGCCAGATTTCATCTGATTCAAACTTTCCCTATGTTCCATGTTAGGTGCTGTAGTGTACAATATATCTGGGGCTTTGATGTAGCAACAGGTCGAAATGTAACAACAAAATGGGTTTGTGTGTGATAGTTTTTTTTTAAATCCTCTCTTTTTTCTCCCAAGAAAGCAAAGTGACCTTGAAGATAGTGTTTTGTTCCTTAATGTGGACTTTGTGTATTCTCCCCTGAGAGATGCTCTTTGGGTTCTGTTTGAGACATTCAGCTGAACCAGAGCTCTCAGCAGCATTTTGTTTGACTGTTGTGTCTCAGGCAAAAAAGTAGGACCAGTAAAGTTCACAGTGCAGCAAAAATAAATAAAAAGGACATGCCATGTTTCCTTGCTAGGTTAGAATTTAAAATAATATTTTTCAAAAACTGATCCTTCTCAGTTTTTATGAGTGACTGTTACTTGCTACTTGTGAGTAATGTATGACACGCTACTGTAACTTAAAAATGAAAACCTAACCCCCCCCCCATAAGGTTTGCATGGTAACAAAACAAAACTTTCCTGAGCATTTATGAGGAAGGATGATCTAATAACAACAACTACTACAACAATAATGTAAATGTTGCTCATTCTGAAGAAAATTCTAACGTTTACCTTACTTCCATTAAAACATCCAAAATTGGCAAAACTGGGCCTTGTTAGTCAAAAGCAAAACAAAAAGATAGTGAGTAATGTGTAGCTTTCACAAGTTAAGGTAACACCTGGTGTGGCTGATTTCTGAAGAGGGTGAAGTGAAGGGTTGTGGGAATGCAGAAAGCAGGAGCTCAGGGAAGCCAGGGAGGCCAGATGTTGCAGCACCTAGGAGAGCTCCAAGTGAGCAATTTGCTCTAACAGAGTCTGAGACCAGTCTGAAGGCTTTCACGCTCCAGCCCTGAAGCTCCCAGTCCTCCCTCCAAAATGAGTAACCTTTAAAGGGATAGGCCACTGGCCTAAAATCTGATACTCCTCCAGCTCTTCAAGAGCTCCTGGTGCCAGGCATGCTGCTGTCACTGGCATATCAACTCCGTGGATTGTGGAGCTCATGGAGAAGGGTGTGCCGGCCCAATGCTGGATCAAGGCTCAGAGGATGTTGATGTTTATCCCTGCCCCCCAAGCGCCATGTTGTGGGTGCTGGTATCTTGCATTTCAGGCTTAGGGTTCTCTTGGGATTGGACATCATGGATTCCAGAATGGTACCCAAGGTTGGTGCCTCATCTATTTGTACCACTGCTTGTTTCCTCATCCTCTCAAACTGTGTTCCAGTCCCTTCTATATTCCAGGGTCATGACAAAAAGCACACAGTCCAGTTAACTCTTAATTTG